AGACAGAGCCATAGCAGAAGAAATCAAGAAAAACCATAGTTAGTCTTTTTTATGATGAATGAATGAGTTTTACAAGTACCTATAGGTCCTCACGATACTGATGTTCATGATGCTGATGATTCCAGTGCTGAAATTGGAAATACAACTGGGACACTTGATAGCTCTAATTCTGGTATCATTGAACCAGGTAAGTAAATTTTTTGGAACTTGAATGTACTTTGTCATTTTTATAGTCATTGCCATTAATGATTATAATATGGAAATGGAGTATTTTGCTATGAATCAAAAGTTATCTAAAGTATTAACTTTTGCAATCAAAGATATATTCAAAAAGCAATCTTTGGATGATACAAAGGTGTATTTGGCAGGAATTCATCGAAAAAATCCAGAAATGATCAAAAAGATCAAGGAAACAGCTGATAAAGTTGATCTAATGGCCTTGCTTAGGAGCTACTTTTCTTTGTCAAATGTTTCTGCATTGAAAGAATTTGTTAAAGATTTGAGCATTGACCATAATTCACAAGAATTAGAAGATCTCCTGAAGAGACGAAATACCTTTTATGAGAATATTTTAGCAAAAGATTTCGCAAAAAAAGGCTATTGAAGTTGCAGATCATAAAATGTGCAAGACTGATTTGATTGTTAGTTACTGTCTGAGATATACTGTATTTGCTATTTATTTTTCATTAGATTACTTTTAAGGTTTCATGGAATCAAGATACAACAACATTAAAAGAGTTTGAGGATTTTCTTTCAACAGCATTTCAGATTCATGAAATATACATAAGATTAAGAGTTGTGCGCCAAAGTCTTCTGACCTTTGTATGTTCTATACCAAACTGGCTCCTGGAAGAAATAACAGAATATGTGAATAAAAGGAAAGATCACTTAATATCTAAAGGAGTTGTTGAAGTAACCATTGATGGTGCTGTCATTTTTAATGTGGTATGTAAAATACAACCTTTTTATAGACTAATTTAGATTTTAAAATTAAGGAAGGAGGTTATGCAGCTCTAGTTTTCTATGAACCAAATGATACGATGACATTTACTGCTGTACTTTCTAATCAGTTACCTGCTTTATTGAAGGTAAGAAATAAGCTTATTAAGCCTTATGTATTTGTAATGCAGTTTATTGAAGAACATCATCCCTTTGCTGAAGTTGATCTGATTCATTATTTTCGTTTCAAATCTTTACATGGTTTCATTGAGTTGAACCTTTTTGAAAAGCCGCCAACAGGATGGACTGTTAAACCATTTGTTAAACCTTGCAGAGTAAGCAATGTACATAATATGTAACTTATTTACTGTTAATGTACAATGTAGTTGTATCAAGATGATATTGATAAATTTAATGGTATTGATGATTCTGTTCCTTCATGTTGCCTGATGTCAATTTGTGGATTGTTTGATCCTAAAACCAAGCCTGTTCTACACTACCCTGTATTTTTAAATGGCATAGAATGTCCTGTGATACTGTCTATTCATAGGGTAGTAAAATCTACCATTCCTACATCATCAAGTATGAAAATTTTGCATACATGCATTTACTGTTGTTGATCCTCAGCTATATCTTATACTGGAATTGTTTACTATGAGAGAAAAGAAGAAGATAAGTATTTGGTGGCATTTGTAGTTGCAAAGAACTTACAAAGCCTTGTTAAGGTAAGAAAGCTGTACATCACTATGTTTTTATTGCTATGTTTCTTAATAATGCAGTATATTGAAGATCAATGCCCATTAGCTAAGATTGTTAAACTTGTGAATTTTGACTTCAACTCAAGTCTTGGTTATATTAAGCTTAACTTTAGTTTTACTTCAGAAGAGAAATCATTCACTCAGTGGACTGCTGAACCTGAATCATGCAAAGTAATTTTAGCTCTTTCTTCTTTGGTAATTTGATCATATTTTTTACAGTTGTATCAAAGTGATGTTGACAATTTTGATGATGCCTTAGATTATCCTCCATCTTGCCTGATATCATTTTATGGATCACCTGATGCTGCACAGTTTTTACAGTACTCTTTATCACTTGAGGGCTTGGCTGATAATGTCACTTTATCTATTGATTTTACACTAAATCAATTATCAGGTTACATCATTTTGTCTATTGTTATATAATGAATACCGTATAGCTGGAAATATTTGCTGAAATTTAATTTTGCTGTTTGCTGTTCATCATAAAAATGCACAATTTAATTTTGCAAAGCAATTTTGTTAATGGGTATATCGACAGTTCACACTTATACCAGCAAAATTAAATTCTGCATGCATTAAACTCTGTTCTATTAACACAAAATTGCAAATTATAAGTCCAGACCCATGAACCTTTCTAGCTATATGGTATGTGTTTTTGTTATACAGATGAAGTTTCATATATTGGATTGGTATATTATGAATGGAAATTAACAGAATACTTGATGACATTTATTGCAGGGAAAAAAGGGACTAAACTAATTCAAGTATAAGTATATGTACATGTAGTATAATGCTTATTATTATTTATTTCTTACAGTATGTTGAAGAGTATCATCCGCTAGCAGAGATTGATCAAATTTTTACTTTTTCTTTCAGTTCACCTCATGGTTTTATTGAGCTTGTATTTGATATTTCACAGGATGATTCTTGTGAAGGATGGACTGTACAACCATTTGTTAAACCATGTACATAAGCAGTATATCTACCTATTTTGTTTATTGCATTTTTATCTTAGCTGTATCAAAAAGACATTGACAGGTTTGATGACTTTAAATGTCCTATTCCTCCATGCTGCCTGATATCAGTCCATGGATCACCTGGTGCTGTTCCTATGTTACATTATTCCATACCATTAAAAGGTGTAGCTACCAATGCTGCAATATGTATTAATCGAAGCCTTCAGCTAGAAAGTAATAATTGAAATCATTAAATCTTTGCTCAAAGTATATTGTGTAGAAGCTGTGGTAAAACTTATAGATCAGTTACATAGTTTAGAAGTTACTTTGAAAGAAGGTATAATAAAAAATAAAGAACATTAATTTTATCATGTGTTGTAACAAAAAATAGAGGTGCTTAAAAAAGATGGAGAGATTGCTGCATCAAAAAAGAAATTGTATGATTCACTTGAGAAACAGTCAGTAATAGCTAAAGGTAACTAAAAGCTTCAGTTTTAGCAATTATTTTAACAATGCAGAAAAGCAAGATCTCTCAGAAAGAGTGCTGGCACTGATAAAAGAACAAGGATTGCCCAAGCAACCAGAATCACTAAAGTTATTAGACTGTATGCATGTTTTTTTGTATAGTATGTTTTACCACTGTTGTAGATAATGTATCAATGCTAGAGATTGTTCTTCAGCCTATGGAAGATCTTTGGTTTCAGTTGGGACATCAGTTAAAAGTTGAGGCATCTTTATTAAGTGATATACAAGAAACAAACGATGCAAAGGAACAGATGAGATCGTTATTGCAATATTGTTCTGACAAAGGAGTGACAATGATGCAGTTGGAAGAAGCACTAGAAGCACTGGACCAAAAAAGCTTAATACCTGGTGTGTATAACTTATTTGATTTAATGTGTTTCACTTTGTTCTGAAGCTTTGCAGGAATTTTCAAAAGAACATTTCACTGAAAGCAACAAAAAACTAGAGCTTGGTGAGTAGACATTATCAAACTGAGTGTCCTGAGTAGCTCATTTGATCTTCTATAAATAGAACTTAAAGAAACTAAAGTTGCTCTTGATGCATGTAAGTTTAAACAACAGGAACAAGAGGCTGTTGAAGGTGATTTCATTGATTTTATGTAACTTGTAATCAATGAAATAATATTTCTTATGCAACAGAAATGCTTAAAGCAGAATTGAAATTAAAGGATGAGGGCATATCTAAATTAGTTAAAGAAAAATCTCAGTTATCACAAATGATCAATGAACTTAAGCAGGATGGTAAATGGCAAATTTCATTTTGATTGTGGCTGGATTTTCATTGCAATCATTGATATAATAATATTTATTTTTGCTATTGTACAGGAATAAAAAAACAACAAGCTTTTGTGGAACAATTGGATAAAATCACATCTGAGTTTGTTAAGGAAAAATCTCAGCTATTGGAAATGATCAATGAACTTAAAGATGAAAACCAAATAGGTAAATGTATCATAACTTTTAATTTATATACTTTGTTATCAATTATGTGCAGTAGTCAAAAAGCATGTGGCTGAATTGATTTTAAAAGAGAAGACCATATCTGAGTTTGCTAAAGAAAAATCTCAGTTATTGGAAATGATCAATGAACTTAAGCAAATTGGTAAATACTGGGATTGCTCAACATGTACAACTGATATAGTTCCTTTTTTCTGCAACAATAGTCAGCGGTTGCATCAGTCTAGTCTGGCTGGTCCAGACCCTCGCCAGACTAGCATCTGTCATCAGTTACTATATCATATTCCTCTTTGCGTTTCTAAAATTGAATTATCCTCATTTGTAAATTGTTCTTCAATCATATCAGGGTATTATTAGAAATCCTGCAACTACTGCAGGTTTGCATAGCAGCTAAGAGTGATCAAATTTCATGACCTTTCTCGAACTGAAAGAGTTATCATGAATTATCTTTTTTATATGCAGAAATGACAAAGCAACAGGGTTTTGTGGAGCAGACCACTTTAAAAGACAAGAGCATATCTCAGTTAGTTGAGGAAAAGTCTCAGCTATTGGAAATGATCAGTAAGCTTCAAGATAAAAATAGTACAGAAATTGAAAAGCAACAAAGTCGTGTGGAACAAATACAAGAAACTCGTTAGTTTATTGTATACAGTTTTTGCCAGTAGTTGCAATGATCTGTAGAACTTTCCTATGATGAACCTCTTGAAAGCAGACTAGAATCCATTAAGCAGTCAGAATTAGAAGGTTTGTTTAAATTGAGATGTATAATACCAATTTTATTTATATGATAATAGCTATTTCATATGCTGGTCTGATTTATTATGAGGAAAGGGGTATAGAAAATTTAGTGACATTTACTGCAGCCAGAAGTTTGATTAATCTACCGGAAGTAGGTTTGATGTGTTCATTAAATTCTAATTTTTACTAAATTTTAAATATAGTTTGTGAAAAGGCGCCGTCCTTATGCTGAAATGGGACAGTGTGTTTACTTTCACATCAGATATGATTATGAATATATTGAATTAATATTTGATGCTCCACAGGATGAACCATTTACTGGATGGACTATTAAACCTCACATGAAACCTTGCAGAGTAAGTTGAAACAGCAGTTAACGTTTTAAAATTAAAGTGTGTTAATTAGCTGAGTTGAGTACCATATATTTAAATGGCCATGCATGGCTTCATACACTATGAGCTATATGCTATCCAGCTGTTTTAGTATTGTAAAATGATTGGAATACTTGTAGATTAGACTTGTGAGGGCATTAGTTAATTGAGATATTAAAGTCTGATTTATTTATTCATTTGATTAGTCTCATTATCTCTATAATTATTCAATTCTGTTCTATTCTCTACTCTTGTTTTATTAGCTTCAGCTATTTTACTTACTAGAAAAAAGTAATCATATATATTTTTATATAGTTGTATCGTCAAGATATCGATAATTTTGACGAATTTGAATATCCTCTTCCTCCATCTTGTCTTATTTCAGTCTACGCATCGACATCACCTGATACTGTCCCTACACTACACTACTCCATACAACTGGAAGGTGTGGTTGATCCTGTTGCATTATGTATTAATAGAGCACTAAAGCCATTAGCTTTCTCTTCAACTATAGCTAGTTCAATGGCTTCATCATCAGCAGGTGATCATTAGTCATTTATACATAACATATTATTACTTGCATTGCTAATACAAGCAATTATAGTGATTTGACTTTAATGATGCTAAGATATTTTATATTTATGCATTGCATGGTAATATTTGTATAGGTTATATGCACTCCCAGTGCATATAAATTTGCCATTAGATTAGCTGTTTCATTACTACACTATGAAACTAATAAATATAGAGAAATAATTTATTATTATGATAATTCTTGTATATAGTTACTGGTACTCATAATGTTAAGGATGTCAAGAAAAAGCTCAAGAAAGTTTTGATTGATCATCAGTCATCCTTACGTACATTATTTCAAGATAATCCTGCTAAGCTAGCTGATGAGCTCTTTCAGGCTGATATAATTACATATGAAGTATACCAAGACGCAACTTTTGATTCAATGATGGGTAGCTTTTATTCTTCAATGAGTGTATTAAACACTAAGTATGAGTTAGAAGAGCATTGTTCGATTTTTTTAAAAGCTTTGTTTAATGCTCAAAAGTTATTGGAATATAAATCAAAACTTGGTCTTGATGATGATCATAATGCAACTCCTCGTATGATACAACATGACTGGATTAAGGCAGTAGGAAATGAACTCAATTTGAACCATTAATTATTATTTTTAGTTACTTTTTCATTTTTTGTCATAAAAGATAATTTTAGACAAGACATTCAATTTGATTCTTTCAAAAGCAATGCTCTGATATTAAAAATAGAATCTTTTGTATTTTTTAGTATTCTTTATTATGTTTTGTCTGATAACAATATGAGGTGAAATACTTATCAGTTCATTGGCACCCAAATGACCCAATTGAAATACTTGTATTCATAAATAAAATTACACATTCAATCACAGCGATCATGAATAATAATAATAATAATAATAGGAGGGACTATATTAGTATGTTCAAGTGTCAATTTAAAAAAAGATTAAATAAAATAAGACGCACACAGAGGATACATGTATACAACAACACAACATTATTATAATGTACACTTCCTAATACAACATACACTCATAACAATAATTAAAAGGTGTCTATGGGATATAAAAACTAATACAATAATAAAGAGGGAGAGAGAGGAATTGAGTGATAGGGCAGTAATGCATGTAGAGCAATGTTACAAGCTCTCCTCCTTTTTTCTCTCTCAGTCTCCCCTCTTCTCATTGTTGCTATGCAGTGCTCTGCTGGACATAGTTAACTGGAAATACTCCTTCTTTGTGTCTGTTACCCAATATATAGCCTCTCTGTAAAGGGAAATAAAAAGGGAAAGGATTAATGGAGTTATAGGTACACATATGTGCATGTAATGTCATGAATGTAATAGCAAAAAAGATTTACAAAGTGTACAATACATGCATGTATTGTACACTTTGCATATCATGAATGCAGCAAAAAAAGAGTTGCTCATGATAGTAAAGTGAGAAAGAGGAGAGAGAGTA